TCTCTCTCTCTCTCTCTCTCTCTCTCTCTCTCTCTCTCTCTCTCTCTGCCTACAAATTAGTATGTATCTCTCAGTTACTGCTCCAATGCCATGCCTGTTGATTCCCACCATGATAATAATGGACTAAGCCTCTGAAACTATAAGCAAGCTCTCAATTAAATGCTTTCTTTTACAAGGATTGGTTATGGTGTCTCTTCACAGCAATATAACAGCGACTGAGACAGTTACCAATAGAAGGCTTGCATATAGATAATAAGAAAAGTTTAAAACTCAATAGTAGTTACAAGTGGATATATAACCTTCTATAGAAAGAAGTCAAGAGCAAGTCTAAATAATAATTTAAAATTTCCAAACCATGAGTTTGTTGGTCTGTGAAAGCATTCAAAAATAAATAAATTCAAGGGACTGGGGAGATGAGATGACTCAATGGGTAAAGTACTAGCAGGGCACGCTTGGGCACCTGAATTTGATCCCCAGAACCCATATAAGAGCTAGATATATAGCATGAGCCGGTTTACTCCCAATGCCCTGAGAAGCTCAAGGGCCAGCCAACCTGATATATGCTGCAGAAAAAACAACAGAAAGGCCCTGTCTGAAACAAGATGGAAGGCAAGGATTGACGCCTGACACTATCTTCTGAACGAACACACACACACACACACACACACACACACACTTAAGAAGGAAACCAAGGAAATATCGAAGTCAGAAGGGTTGAATGGCAGACTTGGAGACTGCTTTTCACTTCTGTGTTAGACTCGTTTGCTTTTTCCATATGAAAACAGGACAGACTGTTTCCTAAAGCATATTTATATCTGAGAATGCCATCATGCTGTGAAGGGAAGAATTCTTAATTAGAAAATTAATGCTTGGATTTCATCTTCATGTTAATGTAGCTGACGAGTGTAGTATAAGCGTGGGACTCTAAAATCATGTTGTATTTTGGAAGTGTAAACAGCTTTAGCAAGAAGAGGAGATGAACCCCTGGTGAATACCAAGCAGAGAGTTAGAACAAGATCAGCTGCTGGCACAGATGTGAGGAGACATAACTTTATGTCTTTAGGGCCTCTACAGCAGGTGTATTTACTTGGCTTCATATACAAATGAATACAGAAATCTATAAATAGACTTAGTAGTCTATCGTGGACTTTGAAACTGTGGCGTGTGTGTGTGTGTGTGTGTGTGTGTGTTTGTGTGTGTGTGTGTGTTGGACATCATATCTTCTATTCTATCACTCTGCTTTATTCTCTTAAGACAAGGTTTCTCACTGAATCTAGAGCAAGGCCGGCAGTCAGCAATTCCCAACACTACTCCTATCTCTGCCTCCCACAGCACCAGGATTATGGGCAAATAAATGCAGAAACATATTCAGTTGAGGTGCTGGGGATTTGAACTCAGTTTCTCACGATTGGGTAACAAGCACTCTCTGAACTATCTCCCTAGATACCAATTACACATACATACACGTACATATACACAACACAAGGTCTCACTCTGCAGACTAAATTGGCCTTTAACTCACAGAGATCCACCTGCCACTGCCTCCCCAGTGCTAGGATTAAAGACATGTTCCACCAATGCCCAGGTCAAATTTCTAGTTTATAAATGATCATTTCCTCCAGTGTATACTACCAACTGAAGCATTTTTTTAGGTTTGAAGTTATTTGGGACACATATATATGGTATCATGTGATTTTTGATTTATGTATAAATGGTGTAATGTTTCTGTGAGGTTAAATATGTCTACTCAAGCATATCTCTATGGTGAACATCACAAGTCATTACTGGCTTTTTGAGATATACATTACATTATTATTATTATTATTATTATTATTATTATTATTATTATTATTATTATTATGGATGATCATTCCACTGTGGAGCATGCCAGATCTCCTGGGGTTCTTTAGTTGGTGAGTTGGTTGTTGCATCTGGAGATAGGATCCTACTTTGTAGGTTAACTGGAGCTTACTAATAGGACCCAGGCTGACTTCGAACCCTGGTCTGCCTGCCTCTTAAAGCAGAGATTACAGGCAGGCACACATCAGAACTTCTTGTCCCTATTCCACTAATCAGCTTCCCCGCCTCTCTCGTTCCTGTTCTTACAGTGTCTGGTGACTAACACGCTACTCTCGACTTCTATGAGTGCAAGTATTTTATAGACAACATATGAGTCTGCTGGCACTTACCGGTCTGTGATGAGCCTGTTTCACTAATATGATGACCTCTGGTTCCATGACACTGAGAAAACAAAACATTCCATTCTTCCTTGAAATGAAAATATGTGTACACACACACACACACACACACACACACACACACACACACTTCATCAAGGATGTCCTTTCTTCAGCATGGAAACACTGCCTGATTTTGTTCAAGCTCAAGGACTGCAGTTTAGTTCTAGTCTTCCTGGTCTGTTCTGTTTGCCTGGGTTCTTGTTTGTATGAAAACATCGTGTTGTTTGGGTGACTATGGCTTTGCAGTACACTTTAAAAATCAATGTGGTCACTCCTGTTTTGTCTCTTTGGTTCAAGACTATTTAGGATCTTTTGTGGCTCCATAGAAATTATACGATTGTTTTTCTATTTCCATAAAAAAAAGTGTCATTGCTATCCTGCGTGGTGGTGCACACCTTTAATCTCAGCACTCGGAAGGCAGAGACAGGTGGATCTCTGTGAGTTTGAGGCCAGCCTGGTCTACAAAGAGAGTTCTAGGACATCCAGGACTGTTACACAGAAAAGAAAAAAACAACCTGTCTCAAAAACAAACAAAATGTCATTGCTCTTTTGAGAGGGGTTGGACGAAATCTGAATTGATTTGGGTAGTGTGGCTATTTTATCATTATGAATTCTTCTAGCCCATTATCAAAGGGTATCTTTCCACTAATTGTGGCTTCGATTTCTTTCATCAATATAGTTTTCATTACAGAGGTTTCACCTCCTTGTTTAAACGTATTCCCAGGTATATTAGCATTTTGTTATAACTATATAACAAAAGTGGGCTTTCTATCTCAGACAGTTTTGCTGCTGTTATGTAGACATACACTGATTTCTTCAAATTGATAGTGTACCCTGAAACTTTATTGAATTCTTTAACTAATTCTAAAGAGCTGTGGAACTTGTAGGGCTTCCTATACATATGATCATATCTGCAAAGAGAGACAGTTTCCCTTCCTCTTGTCTGGACTGAACTGCCCCTTCCTCCTTCTTTCTGCCTAGGTGCTATGGGTTAGAACTTCTAGGTTCTACCTATAGATGAAAGTGCACAATCTTTGTCTTGTTCCATATCTTTCTTGTTTTGTTTTGTTTTTCAAAACAGGGTTTTTCTGTGTAACTCTGGTTGTCCTGGAACTTGCTCTGTAGACCAGGCTGACCTCAAACTCACAGAGATCCTCCTGTCTCTGCCTCTCGAGCTAGGATTAAAGGTGTGCACTGCCTGCCATATCTTTTTTTTTAAAAAAAAAAAAAACCTTTTCATTTCTTTCTCACTCAATACAATTTGAGCTGTGGATTTGTCACATATGGCTTTCACCATTTTGAGGGAACCTTCATTTAGAGTATTAACATGGCTAGTGGGGGAGATGGTTCAGCAGCAAGAGCACAATTATATACAATTATAAAGAACTGAGTTCAAATCCTAAGTACAAATTAAAAAGCTGGGGCTGTAGAAGACAGATACAGGAAGATGTCCTCCCTCCATAGTGCATTCCTGATTTTGTAAAGTACATTGTAGTTATATAAGAAGCATCTTCTTAACCAGGTGTTGGTACACGTCTTTAATCACAGCCCTCTGAAGGCAAAGGCAGTCTGATCTCTGTCATTTCCTAGGCTAGCCCTGGTCTACAAAGCAAGTTACTTGCTAAACAAGGCCACCTGAAGAAACCCTTTCAAAAAAGAGGAGGAGGAGAAAGAGGAGGAAGGAAGTTAAGATGGTCCCATAGGTAAAGGAACTTGTTTGCCAAGTCTGACAACCTGGGCTTGATCACAACTCACAGGGTCAAAGGAAAGAACTAACTTCCACAATATGTACTCTGATCTCCACATGTCACCCTCTACATACACACACACACACACACACACACACACACACACACACCACAAATAAATAAATGTTATAAAAGAAGAAGAAAAAAAGGAAAAAGTCCTATTTTTAGGAAATAAATGCCAATTTATTTAGGAATAAAAGGCCATGATGTCTTCAAAATCACCAAGGTTTCATTCATATATATGTCTGTGTTGTGTGTGTGTATGTATGTATGTATGTATGTATATGAAGACATACATAAATATAATTGAATATAATAAAACAAGGTGTCAAAATATAAACAGCTGAACTTGGGTGATGTTATATGGCAGATACTTTCATTTCCTGGCAACTCTTCCATAGCTTTAAAACTCTATCAAATTAAAAATTAAACACCAGATCAATGAATTAGTATAAAGTGGAGTTCAGTGGGGCTGGCAAGTTATCTCAGTGGTGGAAACACCATCTTCTGGTCTCTCCACCAACACTTTTACACATGTAGCACTCCCATACACAGACACACTCACACAAATCAGAGTTCAAGATAAACAGGGCATTGCAATCAGTGAATCAACCACCCGTTAAAGTCAACGAACTCTGAACAGCTTGCTGTGGTTGAAAGGGCTATGGCTCATTTAGAGAGCTCTAGCAGAAAGGGTGCCACACTTCATTTGGGAAAACTCAAGAGAAATTAACAAAGGAATTGTTTACAAAACTATGACAAGTTAGACCACCATTTAGCCCAAAGCTTTTCTTTCCAACTCTATTTTCTTGCAGGGTCACTTGTGATGGATCACTATGAGAAAGGAGGAAAAATTCATTCTATCTGAATATATCCATATGTCTTATCAAGCAAATGTTCATTTCTTATATTCCAGTATTCTGCATTTCAATTATTAAGAAGATGAGCTGGCTGAATGGCTCGTTCAATTAGGTGCTCATCGTGCAAGCATACTGACTTGGGTCTGATTCTGAGCGTCCATACCGAAAAGATGCCAATGTGATGGTACACACTTGTATTCCAAGCACTCCGAAGGCAGAGACAGTGGCCCTAGGGATCACAGGCTAGCCAGATGCGCATATTTAATGGATTCCAGGTCAGTGAGAGACCTGTTTCGAAAACCAAGGAGGACAGCACGGGAAGAATGAGACAACGAAAACTGTATTCTGGCCTCCACGCTGTGCGTGCAGACTCAGAAGCAAGACTGGAAGCAGATTTGCAATCAGTCCTTAGAAGACCTAATAGTGACACCTGCTGGAACAAAAGTAGCAAAATAAAAATAAAAACTGAGCCTTTAAATCTTTAAAATTTAGAGTAATTCTGTTTCTATTAAACTAGGGAAGAATTTGCTGTTTTACCAGACTGGTGTACATGATGAGGAGATTGAGAGAACAGAGGGCTCTGTAAGTGTTCTCACATTTACAAATAAAATTGTGTGTTCTCCTTTTAGGACAAAGTCATCCTTGGAACTGATTACCCATTTCCACTAGGTGAGCAGGAGCCTGGGAAATTGATAGAGTCCATGGGAGAATTCGACGAAGAAACAAAGGTATGTGCCTTGAACCTTGGTCTCCTTCCTGAGCTGAACAGAGAGACCACTATACTTCATTTGCCGACAATTCTGACTCTGTCTTCTGAAACAGCTACTCTATGAAAAACAAGTCTTAACAGCTTTCCAATTTTAGTATATGTGCTGCTGAAGCAAGCACAAAGGTCTTAATATCTTAAAATAAGTCCAGTATAACTAAATGCATAAATCTTCTGTGCATGCAAATGCGCGTGTGTGCGTGTACGCACGCAGACAAATGATTTTTTTAAAAAGTTATCAATAGCTCTAGCTAATAAGTGCTTTATCAAGCCAACCGTGCTTTAATAATAAAACATCCCTCTCCCTTTCTGTTTTATTTAGGATAAACTCACAGCTGGCAATGCCTTGGCTTTTTTGGGTCTTGAGAGAAAACTATTTGAATGTCAAAATTAGCTACGAAAAAACCTTCCAAGAAGCTACATCACTTCTGTCTCTGAACATGAGTCACACACACATCGCTAGAATTTCATTTTGAATTATGTTAACTCCAAAATGGAATATCCTCCTCAGGACAATGCAGGAGGATCAGGAATCCAAGTTCCAGGCCCGTTTGAGCTACTTGAGACTGTCTTTTAAAAAGGGGGGGTGATGAAAAGGGGTAATATTCCCAAATACTCTAACTTATTAAAAACAAGATGTTTCATAAGATTTCTATTCCGAAATGTAATGTACTGAAAAGCAGTACATTGCTACATATGCAAATCAAAACTATTTAATTTGGAGATTAAGAATTAATGTATAATTGATGATCTACATAGAAAATAATCCAATACCAGCCTTATTCTATAAGGCTCAGGTGGATTCTTTATTTTGATCAAAGAAATGGGAATTGTGCCCAAATAATCTGTTTTTTCCTGTTGTAACCCTCTCCGATAGTCTGGTCATTCACTGGGAATGTTTTTGTCTTTATAAACTACACACAGGGTATGCACAAACTCACACGTTCCAAAAGCCAGTTAAGAAAGCAAGGCTCATGGAATAATTGCCGAGTGATCCAACACAAAGCTCAAAAATATTTCAGTAAAATGTGTTGTAGTCTCCCAGAATCCAGCAGATCTTAGAAGATCGGCTGAGTACAGGAGGAAGGATGGACACCTCTTTAAAAACAAAAAGATGGTGGGCTGGACATGGGGGTGTGTGCCTCTAATGTCAGCACTCAGGAGGCAGAGGCAGGCAAGGGATTTCTGCTTGAGGCTAACCTGGTCTTCATAGCAAGCTCCAGGCTAGTTGGCCAAGGATACATAGTGAGACTCTGTCTCAAAAATAAACAAGTAATAAATAAGCAAACAGAAGAGGGAAGATAGAAGAAAAAGCTAAAGGGACAGAGGCTTGGTTTCAGAGAGGATGAAACTTGTTCTAAAGGGAATCTCATCTGTGAGTTTATTTTTACAGAGCAGGAGGTAGAGAGAGGTCTGGGGAGTGAGTGGGTAACACCATGACACCTTGTTCCAGGCCCTACCCTTCCACCCGAGTCACTGCAAAGGAACTTGAGCCTGGGACAGGGTAGCAGACGGCATCTCTCCTTCACAGCAAATAATTTCTCCATGCCACATTCATAACTTGGGACTCATACTTCCTTTTCTTCCTACACAAAACCAGGATCACTATTAATGTGCACCTCGTGGTGACTCTTCAACAGAGAAAGAGGAGATCTAGTTAATACTTGCTGGCTCCCGTTCTGTTATTTTCACCATCTGTGCTTCAATGCTCCCCTCCTTCCTGTTCCTCTTGTTTTCTAGAGTTTTCCCCAACTATCATTCTATTTACTACTCCAATCTGTCTTGAAAGAAAATAAAATTGAACAAAAAAACAATTGAAAGCATATGTTACTGCTTTTCTCCTTCCCCAAATCTTTAGAAGAAATTTCTACTTCTTTTCAACTATTTCATAATTTTTATTAGTTACTTTTGCCTCACTATGACCAAAAAGAACACACACAAACCCAAAAAAAAAAAAAAAAAAACCCTCAAGGGAAGTTTCAGCCCATTGTGGCGGGGAAGCTGGCAGAGAAGAACAGCTCACACCACTGTGGGAAAGCAGCAGGGCTTGCTCCTTTTCCCTTTTCTCAGTCTGGGAACCCACCCACATGGTGTCACCCACATTCAAGGAAGATCACTGTCTCTTAGTACTCTCTGAAAGGGTCTTCACAGACATGCCTAGAAGTGTGCTTTAGTAATCTCAAGATTAACCATCCCAAATCCATCCCTTGTCAATCTGACACTCCAACACATCTTTTCATACCACAAGATTCAATCCCTCCCCCATCTCCCAATGCTCCAAAGTCTAGTCCAGTTTCCCTGAGACAGGGGCAAACACTTAGCTGTGTGCTCTGCTAGTATCAAGTTATATAGTCACAAGTACATATCAAAAACATTTCTATTACCAAAGTAAAAAGAGTCCAGAAAGGAGTGCCCAAAGCAAGACTGAAACCCGGCAGTGCAAATATTAAATCCTGTAGCTCCATGTCAGTACCCAGAGCTCACAGTGCTATACCCAACAGGCTTGGGAAAATCAGCCCCTATGGTCTTGCCATTTGCAAGCCACCTAGCCTCTCTCAGTGTGGCTCCACACTGCCCACTACTTTCCTCAGGACACATCCCATCTTCCTGGCATCACCAACATCCTGGGGTCTCCACTACATCCATCTTAGATTTTACCCTCACAGCTTCATGCACTGCCCTCTAAGGAGCTGCCTTCGGGGACTCTAACAGCGTTATGTGTTGCCTAGCCTCCAAGACTTTCCATCAAAATCTGTGTGGAGGCTTCTATTGTGAGAGCCTGTGCAAGGAAGCTGTGAACTTACTGAGAACTATGGCTGGGGTAGAGTGTAGAACATTCTTCCCACAAGGTGGCCTTTTAGAAAGAATTCTATAAACTATGGTAAATTAATACACTTGGAAGTAAGGACATGAAGGGAATATGCTGGCATGTCCACATTATCTCTGTAGGAAAGGCAATGGCCCAGGAGGAATACTCTTGGCTCTTTTCACATGACCAATGATAAGACATAATGCCAGGTATATTCCCTTGACATACTTGTTTAAGTTAACCATAAACTGTAGATAAAAGTTTCTAGTCCTCCAGTTCCACAGCCCTTCAGTCCCAAATAAACACACAGAGGCTTATGTTAATTATAAACTGTTTGGTCTATTAGCTCAGGTTTATTATTAGCTAGCTCTTATGACTTAAAATTCACCCATAATTCTTGTCTATGTATAGCCAACATGGCTTTGTACCTTTTCTCAGTAAGGCATTCTTATCTTGCTTCCTCTGTGTCTGTCTGGTGACTGACTCTCTGCCTTTCCTCTTCCCAGAATTTTCCTAGTCTGGTCACCCTGCCTGGCTTATTGGCCAATCAGTATTTCATTAAACCAATATGAGTGACAAATCTTTACAGTGTACAAGAGCATTGTTCCATAGCATTTCCCCTTCTTTTCAAAACAAGAACTTTGAATCTAATTTCCTTTGTTTAGCTTTTTTCCTGACCATTATCCATAATAATTTGCAACCAACATGCTAAACAAAGACAGATATTGATAATCCATTTTTTTGGGAATGTGAGAGTAGTTTTCCAAGCTACTTCCTGTTAGCTGGGGGCACTGGTGATCCTTCCTATGGGAACCAAAAATATTTAGGATTATGGTCAAAGTCTGACTGGAATAATCTGTGAGGCTTGATCATCTCAGCTAGAAGCCTTGAAACTATTCTGAATGCAGAACTCAGAAGAAACTGCAACAGAGATGCTCTGAAACATTGGATCATCTGGGTCATCCAATCCCACCGAAGATTTTTCAGAGGGTCTACCTCAATCAAACCTTATTTTTTTAAATCAAGAATGAATTCACAGCCTCTCATTTCCTGTAGAAACAAAAGCAAAACCTCTTCTCCAAAGTAAAATATCTTTTGACTTAAATTTTAAAGACAAGGCATTTTCTAAATATATAGGTTAGATTAATCCAGGAGCATTTATAATCAAATGTCTTTTAGCAGCTGTTGCTCCTTCCTCAGAAGTCAAACAACTCAAAGACAACACAATAACATACAGTACCCAGACTCTGTGTATTTTCCATCTTTACATGAGTTTGTCTTTTTTTTTTCATTCTATTCCTTTTATTTTTAACTTTTGGGTTTTTTGATTCAGGGTTTCTCTGTGTATCTTTGGTTATCCTAGGTCTCACTCTGTAGACCAGGCTGGCATTAAACTCACGGAGACCCTCCTGCCTCTACCTCCCAAGTGCTGGGATTAAAGGCATGCACCACCATGCCCAACTACTCTCTTTCTTTTTTTTAAGGACTTTCTCTATCCATTTTCTTTTCTCTTCCAAACCTATGTATATTTTTAAGCATGCTGTAAACCATTTAGAGGATATATACCTATATATAATCTTTTTCTAAGGAATGAGTCTTTAATCTGCTAAACAGCATAGCTAGGATTAAAGCTGCAGCTTTGACAGCTGGCTCTGCCCTGTTCATTAGCTTTCTGAGAGTTTAGCTTCATGGCGGAGGTAAGGTACAGGTGGGAGATAAATTTATTGCTACATATCTGTCGAGTTTCTAGATCCATGCCACTACCAAGAAGCATGTTGCTGACTGTCCATCAACACCATTTAAGTGTTTAGTTGCAGGGCCTCTTAAAAGAGCTACAAGGTTTTTGCTGCAAATGCTGAGTCAGGAAGCCTCTCATAAAGGAGTTGTGCCTCTCTTGCCTCCAGCAAACAGAGCCAACCTGAGAAAATGTTGCTACCAAGAAGCCAGTTTGACTCTGTTCGCATCTAGAATCCCTTCCCAAGCTCTCTCGGGTTTTATGTGGTTGTAGTTGCCAAATGTCGAGTGCCATTTTTAGAGAGGAGTTTCTGTCCCGCCCAGTCCCATAGCCCTTTGGTCTCAAAAAACATGTAGAAGGTTATATTAATTATAAATTGTTTGACCTATTAGCTCAAGCTTATTATTAACTGAGTGACTCAGACCCCAGAAAATCCCTGATCCACAGCCCCCACACAGACCCCAAACAGCTAGGCTCCAAGCCCTGACCAAGAAAAAGAAACACAACCTGAAAACGTGGCCAGAGCCAGAGGAAGAGACATTTTGTCCCCAAACCTAGAGCCAGAGAAAAGCCCTGGAACCCTGAAACTGGGACCAAAAGAACACACTAAGTCCCTAGATTCAGGACATACCAAAGATATTTGCCTTGGTCCCAAGATTAGGGTTAAAAAGATAGAAAGAACCAGAAAAAGAAGCACTTTGGCTTCAGAAACAGAGCTATTTCTGCTCCTGACTCAAAACCAGCCAATCTCTGAGCAGGTTAAACAGATCAACTAGAGCCTGGGCTGTTACTGGCAGTTAAGGCTTCCCCTCAGGCCTGGAAAGCCTCCTTACACCATCCGAGGGCAGCCAATCCCAAGCCTGGAAGCCTGGAATTCCCCCTCATGCCACTAGGGCGCAGCCAATCCCAAGTCCTGAGGCTTGGAATTCCCTGAGCCTCTACCCCCATATGAACCCCCATTTTTCACTGCTCTGGGTCTCTCCTCGTTCTGCTCCTATTGCTGCTGTCATTGCTGCTGCTGCTGCCACTTCAGACAGATGGTGGCACTCGAGTTAACTGGTGAATAAAGACTCTGTTTTTGTATCAGAGTTGGTCTTACGGTGGTGTTTCGGATTCTGGAATTTGGGCGTAACATTAACTCTAGCTCTTCCAACTTAAAATTCACACATAATTTTTGTCTGTGTTTAGCCATGTGGCTTGGTTTCTCAGTAAGGCATTCTCATCCTGTTTCCTCTGTGACTATCTAGTGACTGACTCTGGCCTTTCCTCTTCCCAGAATTCTCCTAGACTGGTCGCCCCATACTTTCTGCCTGGCTACTGGCCAACCAGTGTTTTATTAGATCAATATGAGTGATAAATCTTTATGTTATGCCCAAATTTGCGGGGCATAATTTGCCCCGCAACAAAGCCAACAAAGGAGACCGAGTCCCATATGTAAAAGCAAGGAGCCTTTATTTTAATCAAGTTTGCAAACTCGGTCTCTCCACATGTCCAACGTATTGGAATATCCAGAGAGCCTCGAGCTCAATTAGAATAGGG